ATGAGGCAGCCAAGCTCGGAAGCCAGGACTCCCTTGCCCAGGGCAGCTCCACTCCAAGGAAGCCCAGCTCAGGCATGGAAGTGAGTGGCCGCCCCTGCACCCCAGGACTGTCCTTGACACAGATGGTGAAGGGCTGTGTTTGCACCAAGGTGAGGTAGAGGCCAGCTTGCCCTCTTGCTCATGGGTTTCTAAAAATACCACCAGTTTAGTTTTCTTTATCGGAACCTAGGAACAAAGAACATAAAAAGAAGAGGCTCGGCCAGGCGCAGTGGCTCACACCTGTAATCCCAGCACTTTGGGAGGCCGAGGCAGGTGGATTGTGAGGTGAAGAGATCAAGACCATCCTGGCCAATGTGGTGAAACCCCCATCTCTACTAAAAATGTAAACATTAGCCGGGGGTGGTGGTGTGCACCTGTAGTCCCAGCTACTCGGGAGGCTGAGGCAGGAGGATCGCTTGAATCTGGGAGGTGGAGGTTATGGTGAGCCGAGATTGTGCCACCGAGCTCCAGCCTGGGCGACAGAGTGAGACTCTGTATCAAAAAACAAAACAAAACACAAAGAAGAAGAGGAGGCTCATGACTGTCATACTGCTCCGAGATTTGCTAGAACAGCAATTGTGTGTCATTTCAGTGGGAGCATGTCAGTCATCTTTTCGTGGCCCCAGCCTCTTAGGAGCCCCCCAGACCCCTGCCAGCCAGAGGCACTGAAGGAACATAGAAACACCTGAGAGATGGCAAGAACTGACTGTGGGCACCACCAGCGATGGCTGGTAGCCTGAAACAGGTGGCCCAAGGTAGGGTGGGAGCGTTTTTCTCTCCACCTGGCCAGACACGAGCTCTTGCTGGAGTCTGGGGAGCAGGCAGCACTGGACCCTCTGGTGAAGGCGGAGGTTCCTAAGCTCAGTGGGAACAGGCCTTGACCTGACCTCTGGAGGGTGACCAGTCCCTGCTGCTCCTGTCCCGGATTGGTGGGCTCTGATTTCATGGTCCGTGAGCAGGGGACAGGGTTCGGTTCCGTGGACACCCTCCTCGTTTGTCTCCCTGCCCTCATGGCCTGTGAGCAGAGGACAGGAGTCAGTTCCATGGACACTCTCCTGGTTTCTCTCCCTGCCCTTGTGGCCTGTAAGTAAAGGACAGGACTCAGTTCCATGGACACTCTCCTGGTTTTCTCTCCTGACCCCCAGCAGCACATGGTTTCATCAGTGAGACAGTGCCCATGGGTGCATGCCCACTCGTCCTTCAAAACCTCCCACTGGGCAGCTGAGCACCCCAAGCAGGGGCCTCTGGATGAGCTGAGAGCAATGTTTCAGGAACAGGAAGTCGGTGACAGAGCAGGATGGTGTGAGGTGCAGGCTCAGGAGGACCGAGGGCTCGAGACGACTCCAGGGCCGAGAGAGATGATGAGCCCCCACTTCTAGGGCTCCTGAGCACAAAAGCAGAGAGAGGGTCCCAGTCCTGGTTGGGGGCATCTGTGGACTGAATGTTTATATCACCCCAGAAATTCCAATGTTGAAGCCCTTACCCCGATGTCATATTTGGAGGTGGGGATGTTGGGAGGCAATTAGATGAGGTCCTAACGATGGAAGCCTTGTGATGGGATTGGCATCCTTATTGGACAAGGAGGCGGCGGCCAGGCCTCACTCTACCCTGGGAGGATACAGCAAGAAGCTGCCAACTGCACACCGGGAAGAGCCCTCCCCAGAACCCACCTGGGGCCTTCAGGCCTCTGCAGCTGTGATAAACAAGCGGTGTGGCTTCAGCCACTCGGTATATGGCATTTTTGTCACAGCAGCCTGAGCTGCCTAAGATGGGCAGAAGCTGTCCCCTCCCCCTTGGCTGTGTCTGTAACGGAGGGCAGCCCCAGGGATAGGCCAGGCTGGGCTGCTGGGCTTCCTGCCGACAGCTGGACACCTCCCTCCTGGGAGACAGCACGGGGGGTGCTGGGCCAGACTCCCCAGCCTGCGCTGATGCTCCTAGAGCCAGCTTCAGGGACCCCACGACCCCAACAAAGCTTTGTCCCATGGCCAGCCCCGGCACCCTCTCTGCCCATTCCTTTGCGAGTCATCAGCCACATCCCCAGGGACCCACCTGAGCAGAAGCAGGTCTCTGGAGAGCTGTGCACACCAGCCTGGCACCATGGCAGGAAGGGTGTGACCGAGTTTCCTGAGGTCTGGACCAAGGCCCTGCTTTACCACTAATGAGCTGTGTGACTCAGGCAGCTGGAGCCGTCTCTGAGCCTTGGTTTCTTTGTCTGTATAGTGGGGATCCTAACACCCGCCTCCTTCACACTCTGTGGTCTGGGCTGTGGCACCTGGTCCCATAACTGCTCACCAAATGCGCCGTGGGGGTTTGATTCCCTCCTGTTCCCACACCCTCCTCTCCCTCAGCAGCCTGCGTGGGGCAGAGCGCTCTGGGTGTTTATAAGGTGAGCTGCCCTCAACCTACATGTGTGTGGAGGGTGCAGAAGGAAAAGCTCACATCGCTGGGGGCCACGCTCATTTCCACCTATGCGCCATGTCCACAGGGATGGTGGGGATTTGTGAGGAAAGCAGAGCTAACCAGCACTGGCACTTCCTTTCTCTCTCCTTTGCCCACATTGTGTTTCTGGAGCCTGCCTCATGGGCAGACGGGGACCCTGTTGTCGAGGTAGAAGGATTGGGAGCAAATGGTGGGAGGGGTGGAGAGAGGCAGCTCTCTTAGGGAAGGGGAGGGTCACCAGACTGCGTGAGGGATGGTGGCCTAGGGCTCCAGGGGGACAGGCTACTGGTCCCTGGAGAGGCTGGAAGCCAGCCTAGCAACGATCCAAACCCAAGACAGACACAAGGATTGCCAAGTGCTCCCACTGCCTTTCGAGGGTCCATGAGAGCTTGGGAAGCAGCAGGCCAACAGTGAGGAGTGTGGACAGCTCAGGGGACCCTCTGCAGATGTGCTGGGCCTCAGAGAGCTTGGGAAGCAGCAAGTCAACAGTGAGGAGTGTGGACGACTCAGGGGACCCTCTGCAGATGTGCTGGGCCTCAGAGAGCTTGGGAAGCAGCAGGCCAGCAGTGAGGAGTGTAGACGACCCAGGGGACCCTCTGCAGATGTGCTGGGCCATCAGAGACCCCAAGCCTAGGACCTTCCTGAGAGCCGGAAAGGGGCCCTAGTTATGGCTGATTTTCCTGCCAACCCAGAGGGACAGGAGCTTGGAGCAGATTGCATTTTATTCAGAGAAATAAAAGTGAGATGACATTTCTCATATTGGTGGATTGGTTGGTAGCAAATCCATCCCCCCATCCCCCAGAATGTATCATAGCTTCCCTCCCCTGTGAGCTTGCTCCTCCCACCCCAGGAGCACTGAGCTCAGTCACCTAATCAGGCCAGTGAGACATGCTTTGGGAAGCCAAGTTGGTGACATTTTCCTCTCATGGAGAGGTGTGCTCCTTGCTCAGTTGGCAGCCCGCGAAAAGGCCAAGCCACAGATCCAGGCTTTCCTTGGCAGGGGGCTGCAGAGAGCCCCCACCCGTGCAGGGACCAGGTGGCTTCCATGTGGCAGAAAGATGGATGAGCTGGGGCAAGGGTCCTGAGGAGTCGCCAGCTATCACTGAATCAGACTCTCCCAGGTTTGCCTGGAGCCAGTCTCAGCCCCAGCAGTCCGCCTCTGCCTCGCAGCATGCTGCTTCTGGCCTTTCATACCTCTGCTTGTTGCTGTGCATTTAGGGGAAGGAAGGTAAGTACAGTCATGCATCACATAATGACATTGCGCTCAGCTAATGTGGTCCCCTGCCATTCTAACACCAGGGTTTTACTGTACCATTTCTATGATATATTTAGAGACAGAAATACTTTCTGTTGTTACAGTTGCCTTCAGCATTCGGTACAGTAACATGTCGTACAGGGCTGTAGCCTGGGAAGCAGAGTATACCAGCTAGCCTGTGCAGCCAGCTACACCACCGAGGTTCGTGTAAGTGCAAATACCCTACATGGTGTTTGCACAGCGATTTAGTCACCTCACAAGGCATTTTCTCGAGACATATTCTTGTTTTTAAGCGACAGTAATTATAAGTTATGAGTTTAAAGCAAAGCCCCTTTCCAGCTCCCAGAAGCTCCTGGGCTTGGGGTCTGATGGCCCAGCACACCAGCGGACTGTAGAATCCAGATTCTCGCTATTTCTGTGTCCAGAGAACATGATAAAATGTCTCTAGAATCAGACCTGAATGCAGTACATGCTTGCCATGTGAACCTGAGCAAATCCTCAAACTCTGCCAAGCCCCAGGTTCCCCACCTATAAAATGGGCCTCAAGTTTATGGAATGGGGGTGCGAGGATCATTAAATGGAGCTTGGCATATAGTAGGTACCTTGAGTTTATGGAACGGGGTACGGGGATCATTAAATGGAGCCTGGCATAAAGAAAGTGCCTCGGGTTTATGGAACAGGGGTGCGGGGATCATTAAATGGGGCTTGGCGTAAGGGAAGTCCTCATGTTGCTAGCAGCATCTCTCACGAGTCTAATGTCGGATGCACAGGCGGGCTCTGGGTATGCTTATGTGCAAATGTGTGTCTCTTTGTTGAATCGCATTATTTCCTGCCCCATTTCCAGGTAGCACCACGATCTGCTGGTGGAGACCAGATCACAGGCTGCTGTGTTTGCCTGGACCCGCCCCTGGCGCTGGGCGTTTGGGCTATTTCCAGTTTTTTGCTGTTGAAAATGATGCGGTTGTCAATGTCAGCAAGCTTAGTTTTCTGCGCAATTCTAGCAGAACCTAACTGTGGAGGGAATCTGTGGATGGGGCCAGCCATCCACAGCCAACTAAGTGTTTTGGGATTATCTGTGCCTTTGGGGCGATTGGCTCCTTCTGTCCTGAAGCACGAGCCATTCCTTGGAGATGCCAAGTGTCCCTCAGATGCAGTGGACGAAGCCCCTCGGTCCACTGGGCTTGGGGTCTGATGGCCCAGCACACCAGCTGCAGCCGGAGGAGGAGGCAGCTGCAGTCTTTACAACCCTGTGTCCTCTCTCTTGTAGAAAGTCTGCACCAAGTGCGGGATCGAGGCCTCCCCTGGCCAGAAGCGGCCACTGTGGCTGTGTAAGATCTGCAGTGAGCAAAGAGAGGTAGGGCGTCCTGGCGGACGGGAGGGGCGATGGGCGGGGCCGGGTGCTCCTGGAGGGGATGGGCGGACTGTCACTGGGAGGGGTGTCTCAGGAGGGCACGAAGGGCTGAGTACTGGGGAGGAAACACGGAGCCTCCACGCACGGGTGGCCCTTCTAGCTGGGAGAGGCTGAGGCTTCAGTGGGAAGCGCCTCGCACGGAGTGTGTGCAGCGGTTACACGGTCACAGTCGCAGCTACCCAGGGTGAGTGCTGGCCGTGAGGCCTGGCCCTGCGGTAAGTTCCCTGCTGCGTGAATCCGTTTCATCCCTACACGGCCCGGTGGTGTTCCTCCTCCCCCTTTCCCTGATGGGGAGATAAAGATACACGAGGCTGAATAATCAGCGAGCTCCGAGCCAGTTAGTGGGGGAGCTGGAAACAGAAGGGGTGCGAGCACCACTGAGGTCACATGTTGAGGTGCAAGAGCAGCTGAGCTCTGCCTTCACGATATGAGTGCCGCGGATGTCTGCAGTCACAACGCGAGCGACCCGGAGCTCTGCCATCACGGTGGCGCCCCAAAGCCCCTTCGGCTGCTAAGCTGCTACGATTCTAGTTCCAGCCCTGTTTGAGGGGAGGAAATCGGGGCTCTGCAGGGACTCCGAGGCAGTAGCAGAGGGGCAGGACAGTCAGACCGAGTGGGAACGGAGCGGGAACAGTTTCAGGGAAGTGCCCTGGGGAGGCGGGCGTCTGCTCTTCAGACAGGGATTTATTAACTTTTTACATCTCGCTGGCCACTTGGGATGTGCTTATCATCTGCGGGTAAGCAGACAGCTTCAGTTCTGGAAAACTCAGCCGTGACGTGCCATTCCCTGGCCCCGGAAATCCCGCCGGGGCATTCGGAGCCCTAACCACCCTCCGCAGCCCCAGCTGCTCTCGTTCGTGTCTTCAGGTCCCGCCATGCTTCCTGCGTGGATTCCTCGGTTCTGCCTTCCACCTCACTCAGTCTTTCCTTGAGGTCCCCTCCCCCGGGGTCGTGGGTCGTCTTTCCTAGGGTCAGTTTTCGTCGGATGTTTTGGTATTTTAGTTTATGCACTCAACCCGTGTGATGGTCCGTTTCCCTCTCCTTCCCACCCAGCTCTTCTGGCCGAATGGTTTTGCAGCTGCCTCCACCTGGGCCCTGGGCCGCTGGGTTTGTGGTGAGCTGCCCATCTGTGGTGATAACGGGGTTATTCCCAGATCCTCGTCCCAGCTGTGACAGCTTGGCCAGGCCCTGCAGCTACCGCCTTGCTTTCCTCTGAGCTCATGTCCTTGTACCTGCTCTAGTCTTCCGGCGGGAGCCTGTTGTTTTCTTTCCTAGGTGGAAAATCCCCTCACCAGCCTGATCTTAGTGACTCTGCTCTGGCCCCCCACCTCCCAAGGGACACTTTTAGAACCCGAACCCTGGAAGACCAGTCTCCCAGCTGCCTCTCTCTGCTTCTGGACCCAGAGCTCTGCAGGCTGTGGCTTCACCCCTCTAAATGGCAAATACTTTGAATTTCTGATCCATTGAGATATAGATCTTGTTTTTGCACACATTTACTTGCTGCTGCTGCTGTTAAAATATTTTCCTCTATTACAGCTTTATCTTTGGAATAGGAAAAGCTGCAGGTAGGGCCTCGAAGTGTGTGCTAGCATTGTGTCTTGCTGGGAGTCCCTGACTCCTCTTCTCCAGATGGAGTTAGTAATACCCACTTCACAGAGTTGCTGTGAGACTTCAGTAGGATTGCTAAAGTGGGTAGAATGTCCAGTGAAGAGTAGATGTTCATAACTGTTAGAGGCCTCCTTTCCTCCCCTGTGGGACATCTCCCCTTTGAACTTGGGGTCCTTCTAATCTCTGGGGGACCCCTTTGAAGTTGCAGATGTCCATGGAAAAGGAAATTCCTTAGAACGTTATCTTGTGGGGAGACAGTGGGATGAAATGATGGTCATAGCTGAGCTGTGGGAGGGCAGAAGTGGAGGAGCTTTGAAGGAAAAGAAGGTGAACGGAAGGAAAGACAAATTCAGCAAACTTAATGATTTAGTTGAGGGCTGCTCCCTTACCATGAGTCACCCTCACACTCCTTAGCAGTCTCGAGACACCACCAGCCTGTCCTAATCTCCAGCGCACTGCAGTGCCCAGAAAAGACCAAAATGGCTTAGGATGAATTTTCTTATCTTTCCTAAGGCAGAGAATATGAGGCTGTGCGTTACACTATCACCTTGTCCTTGAAGTTTTAGAGGCTAAAACTTATCCTCTAAATGATCAAGAATGTTCCCCTCTGCAGCACCAGTGTAACAGTGGGCATTTGTTAGGAACGGATGGGGCCGGGAGCACAGTCATGGTATCTGAGCCTGGGTACTATGTGCTGGATATTTCCGTCTGCATTTGGGGTGTAGGAAGGCTCGCGGGTTTCCTAGTGCCCTTTCTTCTTAGGAAAATGTCTAATCATAATGAAGAGGTAACTAACTGGAAAGGCCATTTAAAATGTCAGATTTTAAGCTGGCTCTGAGTCTGTGATAAAAGTTCGGAGTTCTGTCTCCCCGCAAAAGCCAGATCCTGATGGGAGAACTTGGGTTTTCTGATGAAAGCTCTTGTAGCACTCTGCCCAAGCCCTCTTATCTTCCTTTCCCCTCGATGCTTCACTTCCATCATCTCTGGCTGTAATTGTAAGTACTTTTTCTGGAGTGAGTCGAGTGCTGGTGAGACATTCCTGAGGCTGTCAGGGGGATATTGCTGCCTGTTGTATGCACTTTCACCCAGTGGCAATGTGAGTCTCAGCCCCTCTGCTCTGGGGGAGCTTGCAGTCTAATACATTTATTCACTTAGGCAGCTGACAAATTTATTGAGCATCTCCTATATGCCAGGCAAAGTAGCTCTTCCAGTGGGAGACCACAAACCCAGTAAATTCTGCAATGTCACAAGTGGTGAGCAAGTCCTTAGGGCAAAGGGGAGAAGGGGTGCCGGGGACATTGCTATTTTATATGGGGATCAGGGAGGGGCTCACTGACAAATGACTTTTGAGTGGAGATCTGAAGCACCTTCTGTGGCTGTGTGGAGGGAAAGCGTTCCAAGCAGGGGTAGAGCAGGTGCAAAGACCCTGAGGCAAATGTGTGCTCTTGGTAGATTGGAGGCACAGCTAGGAGACCAGTGTGACTGGGGTTGAGTTGTGGCTGGGGAGAGGTTGTCAGATGTATTAGTCTGTTCTCAGGCTGCTAATCAAGACATATCTGAGACTGGGTGATTATAAAGGGAAAAAGTTTAATGGACTCACAGTTCCACATGGCTGGGGAGGCTTCACAATCATGGCGAAATGTGAAAGGCACGTCTTCCATGGTGGCAGGCAAAGAAAGAATGAGACTAAGTGAAAGTTTCTCCTTATGAAACCAGCAGACCTCAGAGACTTACCCACTATCATGAGAACAGTCTGAGGGAACCCACCCCTGTGATTCAATTGTCTCCCACCAGGTCCCTCCCACAACACATGGGAATTATGGGAGAACAATTTAAGATGAGATTTGGGTGGGGACACAGCCAAGCCGTATCAGTAGAGATATGATAGGGTGCTCTGACCATACTGGTGCTTTGAGACCGTTTGAAGGACTGTGTTGCTCAGGCTGTAGTGCAGTGGCATGATCTCAGGTCACTGCAACCTCTGTCTTCAGGGCTCAAGCAACCCTCCCACCTCAGCCTCCCAAATAGCTGGGACTACAGGCGGGTGCCACCACACCCAGCTAATTTTTTGTATTTTTGTAGAGGTGGGGTTTTGCCATTTTGCCCAGGCTGGTCTCAAACTACTGAGCTCAAGCAATCCACCTGCCCCTATCTCCCAAAGTGCTGGAATTACAGATATGAGCCACCGTACTTGGCCAGAATTTTTTATTTTTTTTGAGACAGAGTCTCACTCTGTTGCCCAGACTGAAGTGCAGTAGTGTGATCTCGGCTTACTGCAACCTCCGCCTCCCATGTTCAAGTGATTCTCCTTCCTCAGCCTCCCTGAGTGGGTGGGACTACAGGCATGTACCGCCACGCCCAGCAGACTTTTTGTATTTTTGTAGAGATGGGGTTTTGTCATGTTGCTCAGGCTGGTCTCAAACTCCTGAGCTCAAGCAATCTGCCTGCCCCAGCCTTCCAAAGTGCTGGGGTTACAGGCATGAGCCACCACACTTGGCCAAGACTCTGGCTTTATACTCAATAAGATGAGGCATAGAATCTGACCCCCGCCTTCTAAGGGTACTCTGACTGCTGTGCTGAGAGTGAATTGCAGACTATCTCAAGGCCAGCAACACAGTATTTTACTTTTCTTATTTAATATTGCCCAGATATATAAGTTCTTGTCTGTTGTTACCTTTGGAAGTTTTCATTTTTTTTAACATATATACATTTTTCTCTTTTCTGATTATAAAATTAATATGGATCATTGAGGAACATTTGCAATTATAGACAAGCATAAAGAAATGCACACCTTCCAAAAATCTGGAATCCGAAACAACCACTGTTAATATTTAGTGTGTTCCATTTTTCCATGTTCTTTATGTTATTGAACCTATGTTCTTAAATGCATATTTTAAGTCTTTCCCAGTGTAATGAAGAACTCTTTGTAAACACCTCATTGGTATTCTGTCATATAGATATTCTAATTGAGGACATTTAAATTGTTTCCATTTTTTCTCTTTTTACTGTGTGCATAGCTCTTTGTCTGCATTTTAGATTATATCCTCAGAATGGATTTCTAGAAGGAAAATGATTATTTTCTTGGAGACTCTTGAGTTATTATTTTTATTTATTTAATAATTGGCTGGTGTATAATTTTATGTAATTAAAAAATGCACACGGATGATACATTCTGAGTCCTTGGCTATCTGAGAATTTTTGCCTTTATATAAGAAAGACCACTTTACTGATAATGCAGTGAATCCGGGAGAAAAGGAAAATGTAACAGGAGAATTGGTTCCCAGAAAATGAGAGAGAATAGTGAAACTGTGAAAGAGCTGTTACATGTGTTTTTA